CTGAATATTTTGATCACAAGCTAAGCTATACATCTTCTCCAAATTAAATCTGAATCTTTCTTTGGGAAGTCACTGCAACTCGCCACTTACATTGAAGCATTTTTGTTATATCATATCTGATATTCTTCCTAATTCTTTCCAACTGCAGAAATTCTATAAAAAAATAACTATCCACAGCATGTTAAGAAACCAGAAAGTTTTGGGTTTTCACTGGCTAGTAGTGTAAACTGCCTTCTTTCCTAAATACTGCTCTAAAACTGTAAATGAACCCCAAATTTCATATACACTGAGCAAAGGCTGTAAATGGTTAAAAAAAGAAAAAAAAAGGTAAATGTGTCAATTCCATCATTATTAACTATTATCTATTTTACATATATAAATGGACCATTTTTGGTATTTATAACTATCATCTAATTATATAATTAACTACTATCAAACTATTATCCAATATTGCTCAGAATATCCTGAAACTTGTATTAGACAATCAACAGGGATTAAAATAAGTTGCAAGTATTTATCAATACATATTTTTTGAAACTCCAGAAAGGGGAGGGGTAAGATAAAATAAAACAATACGTAGCCTCTTCAAATAATTAAGAATCACACAGCCATATATTTTTTTTTGCCTCTTTCAATCTCAAATTCTGCTTGAAAAAATGTCTTTGCAATCAAAGAGAACTGCAGCATGATTTATTTTGTCTAGTAACAGTTAAAGTGTTTTCCATTGTAAAATAAAGACTGCTTCTATGTCACATCTGTGTTCAAGTCTTTTCATCACAGCTGTAACGAAACACTGAACACAGAGCTCTGTTCAGGTGAACATTACATATTCAGCTCTAAGTAGCGATCATATCCTTTTCACCGCACAGAAATTCAACAAGTTTCTGCTCTGTGATTAGAAGGGACTTCAAAGCAGTAAGATGTTTTTGAAATGTCTTACAACATTGTGGGGGAGGAAAAAGCAATACTGGAGAGCTCTGGACATGACATGGGCATCTACCTGTACTGCCTCCAAAGTCAGGAAGTCAAATGAGAGAGCACAAAACCATGCGAACTGCAGCCCGGTCAGATCCTACCCATAAGTCTTCACCCTGACACACGCTGTATGAAAAATCAGCAAGCAAATCACTCAGGCTTGGCTTTCAGCAGTCCCACCAGCATTTCTCAAAATCCGTCTTATAGAAGCAAGCAAAAATGCCGCAAATGACAGATACTACCAAAAAAGATTCCATTTTCTCCGAGTTTCTGTTTCAAAATCTGATGACCACACAAACATCTGAGTATAAATTCCAAATATATTTGTTTCCTTTTATGCAATTAAGGCCATACTTATAATTGATCTACATTTTAATACAGATACATTTTCCACACGGAGTATCCTATTATCAGCTTGATTGTGGAAAAAAAACCTACTGACTTTGAACACAATAGACAATGGAGTGTCTTGGTATGCAATATCTTGGTATAAGAAGCAGAATAGATAAGAGATTCTTCCAGCTTCCTGCTTTTCCAATTTATCTCACAAACAAGAGCATTTCAGTATAACGTAGAAGGCCAACGTTCATTAAAGCATTTAATACTTATTTTCTTTGGTGTAGTTACATGAGATTCTGGACAAAAGCTGAGAACAGTATAATGGTGAAGAAGTGGGGACTCTAATACCAGAATACTATGAATGGCTGAACTGCAGAATCTCAATCAGAATTCATTCTTGCTTAGCCACTGGGGAATCCAGCTGTGTCACAGTCTCAGGACAAAAGGATTCATCTGGTTTGGTGGTTTCAGGTCTATTCCTCCTAACACCTCGACAGTGCTTTGCACACAGCCAACATCCCAGTTCCCCTGCAAAATCATTAATTCTCTGAATAAAAAGGTGCTGAAAGAACTATGGGGACCTGAAAATCCCCAGAATTTTTAATAGATTAAAAGGAAAGTAGCATATACGAATCAGAAACTGCTTTTTCTCAAGCACATTTATAATACAAGCTGACAGTTTCATTTTCCTATTTTGATTGTAGTACCCTTTCTTCTTGGCAGAACTTGACCTGACTACTACAGCCTTCAAGCAGCCAATTTTAATGCAAGTAATCAACATCAATAGTATCAGCCAAAAGCAAAATCAAGGAAAACACCAGAAGGTAAAATTCATACATGCATAAATGTTGTTTGCAACAGCTGTCACTTCTTTTAGTGGAATAAACTAATTGAAAACCTATTTGAATTTAAAAACAATATGGTCTTGTGTTCAAAGTATGGAACTAGAACCATGAAATTTTCTTGACTTTCTCTATGTTCCACCACTGACTTATGGGGAATTTGGAACAATTCATTAATTTCTCAAACCTTCTATTTTTCAGTTGTGAGATACATTGAAAGTCTGCCAAGTCCATTGTCACATCACTGCTTTCCATGCAATAATGGCTTTCAAGTCAATAAAATGAAACACAGGGAAGTAAATATAGGAAATCTTTCATTTTCATACTGCAGTATTATGTTGATATTAAAATAGAACGAATTGCTCTTAAAATTGAAGACAATCAAAAAATACTCAAAGAGATTGGCAGGCAATCTCTCCTTAAATTCACAAGGTAAATCTGAGGAAAACAACTATCTCAGACACTACAGCAACAGAAGCCACAAAATCCTCTATACCAGCTACAGGAAAATCTGGAAAGGGAAGTAGTAGATAGCAACAACAGCATGAATTTATAAAGCAGAAAGCTACAAAAATTCTAGCATAACTTCAGTCTACACAGATAAAGGCATTCGACCACACTGGAAAGACAACGCTCCCACTACCTTATGGCTTTGTTCAAAGCAGGTCTGAATTTTTAATTAATGCCCAATAGAACGTAGAAAATGTTCACAGACAGAAAGAAATTAGTAAACAGAGCACCAGGCAGACTGGGGAGCAAAGGTGACTTCAAGATGATCAGATAAGAATCTAACTGATTCCATGTATGTAATTTCCCATTTATGTTGACTTGCTGCAACACATGTTCTAAGATCCAAGCTTGCACTGGTAGAACATACTCCTGGACAAAGAGAGCTCTGAAAACATGAACAAGCCTAACACTTAGAATGACTGTAACAAGCCTGAAACAACAGTGCTAGAAAACATCAACTGTCTTTCTCAGCTCATCTTACTAGAAAAGCCTACAGAAAGATTACAATAAACATACAAGCATCATTAAGCGCTTCATGAGAGAACTCAGGTGAATATGAGTAACAACACATTTTCATATTTAATTAGTTGAAAAGGATTAGGCTGCTAAATGTTAAACAAAGCTACTACAGAATTTCTAATAGTCCAAATAATAGCTTTGTAAAAAAGTTTAGGTCATCCCTCCACTCTACGTATGGGAACTCTAGTTTTACTATGATATTTAACTAGGCAGCAAATAAATAAAAAATTAAGATCTTCTAGTAGGTACATTCAAACTACATCATCTTTAACCATATTTCATTATTTGAACTAGAAAAAAGCGCCTTATTTATCCCACTGGTTCCTTTAAGAAACTATAAAAAAAAAATTAGCTATATTTCATACTCAAGACAATTGATGTTGAACCCAGAGAAACAATTCCATACTTCAAAACTCCTGTAACAGTCTACAACATAATACAGTACAACATCGTACAGTCTGTAACACAGTACAATAATCTAACAGCTGTACTAAACTAAGCAGTGATTTAACAAATTTCATTTGTGTTATCAGAACTTCTTTGATTTAGTTGCATTGCTTCATGTAGGGGCATATAGAAGGTACAAAATCAATTTTCAACCACGGGAAAAGTCTGGATCTCACTTTCTCTGAGCCCCTTATCAGAAAGGCTAAGGAAGACTAAGACAGATAATCAGTTTTCTTACCTCCATTAGGACCTGGGTCAGGAGGATCCAGAAGGACACCTCCCCAGCACTTTCCACTCCATCCTCCCTCTCTCTTAACTTTGACTTTTCTTTTCTTCTCCCATGTATCTCTCTGCTGAAGAATTTCAGACTGAATTCTCTCTCGTTCTTCTTTTTTTCGCTGAGTAACTGCCTGGACTCTCCCACTTTGTATTATAGGAGCATTAAGACCAGGCCAGAGGAAACCAGAACGTCCTTAAAAATAAGAGAAAAATTCTGGTTTATGACAAATTGGGACCGAAACTCTGCACACTGGAAAAATGCAATAAAATGGAAGATTCTCACGTATTTCAAGCGTGTTTTATGATAAAGAATTTATATTTAAAAAACAAGAATAACATTAAACAATCACATCAGGATTTTTTTAAAAAAAGAAAAATATCTCAAGTAGTTCTGACACCACAGAAATTAATGGCAATTTGTCAATTTATTAAATCAAGAAACACTATACACGAAAAAGTCAAGACATGTCTTCAGCCCCTTATTTATAAATCTACCTTCACCAATCTCCTGGCCTTTATTGAGATTTTTCCTTAGTTTTTTCTTCCTTCTCTTTCCTCTTCCTTTCTTTACTCCCACACCAGTCTCTGCCAAAGCTCCTTTCCATAGCTCATCAGCTGTCACTGAAATAAAAAAGCTTTCATAAGTAATGTACAAGTACAGCTTATATTGGAAACTAAAGCTGAACAACAACAACAAAAATCCTTGAAATGTAAACCCTTGCTTGATTTTTGCTGGGATTCAAGCTGTGGGATTACCGCCTTGCTAAGAAAGTGATTTCCTACTATGTGTATATGTACCTGCTGCAGAGATATGCCTCTACTCCTGATGACTGCAATCAGACAGACACACAGCCAGGTGCACAGTTTCTAAAAGAATTTTCAAAATTGATTTATAGGCAAACATTCCTAACCAGTAAGGTATTAATTCCCAGGTCAGCAAAAGAAAATCATTCACTAGTAACTCAGAATACCTCTAAGGCTTATCCAAGGACAAATATCAATGACAGTCAATTTGAATCACTCCTAAAGATATCCAAGGGTTAGCCTACTTTAAAAAGTCACAAAACACAAGAAGTTAACGAACAACACAAATCTGCTGCTGTTCTCATGTTCTGACAAAATACACAGTCCTGCTTATTGCCTGTATAAATGCAAAGGAATGCAAGGAGGAAGGAATGCAAGACACTTCAACAACCTCATCACAGAGCTCAGGCTTTGGTCAGACCTCCTCACTCAGTGGCTGTGTACAGGACATCCACTGTTTTAAGATCTTTCACCCAACACAGGAGAGCATGACTTAGGAAGCACATATTTAGTTGTTAACTTCAAACTACTATTTGGCCAATTAACGGAAATATAGGATATCCTCATAATTTGGACAAACCACCAAAATGAAACTGATGATGTGAAGAAAAGACACTACAGACAATATTTCACCCTGTTATTCTGGACAAGAAGCCTATCACCATGGAATACACAAGCACCTTGATTGCTATCCTTGCAGATTAATGCTAGTACGTGCTTCATCCAGGGGCAATGATACTATGGCAATTTAAATTTCTTGTCCTTTCTGATTAGAAACCCATCTTGTTTATTTAAAGTAGACCAAAAAGTCAGTAAACACTTCTAACAAGGTGAATTAAAATAACTGCTCAATTTGCTACAGTTTCCCATCAGCAACTCACGCTTCTTAGATTAACGCATGTGAGAGATCTTGTCCTGCAGACTGGCAAATGCATTGGAACTGAGGAAACTCTGCCGTGTTGACAACATAGTGAGGGACAGGAGCTATACAGCATTTCCAGAGGTACCACTGTTTGGGTTTAAGTGCCCAGGTTTATTTTTGTATTGAATAAGTTCATACAAGGTGTCAAGGCGGCTCTTCCAAAGGCATGACACCATGTTTTCAGTCAAAAAATTTCTTCAAAGTGGGATGTGTAACTGTGATTCTTTTTGAGATGTACAATCCTGAATCAAGTAACCAAAGCTCAGTACATCAGAAAGCAAGCATACAGGGAAGGACACACAAAACTGCAAGTCCAGGAAGCTACAAAATAGTATTCCCTCAAGACAGACAAGAGCAGAATGGCCTAGAAAGTCACTAAGTATCCAAATAATATATTGTACGAACAGTACAACAAGCCAAAATATGCAATATAGATTTCGACTGTATTACAGACAAGTGGAAGTTGTGCATTACACATAAGTAGAAATGCCCATGGATAACAGCAATGTTTCTCACATTTCTTACAGGCACTTCTTAGTCCCTGTAAAAAAGAAATTTATATCTGAAATTACACTCTTTTATAAATAAATGTTCAAGTGAACCTTAATGCCCAGAGATTTATGGTTAAAAAAAAAATCCCACAAACAGTAACTGTATCAAATGGCTTGAAACCAGGGTCTGAACTGTCAGCCACTAAAAAAATTTCCAGCTGATTACAACAAACTGATGCATGTAGCTGTGTGCTAAATGGAAAAAAAAAGAAAAAAGAAAAAAGAAGAAAAAAAATCTTCAGCTGCACAGAACTCAAACAGAAAGACTTCACTGCTGACTCAGCATGTTACTTTCAGCAAAAGCCAAACTGTAATAGATACCAGACTGGCTAAAATCAGTCAAAATTACCCTAAGATAACACTGCATTAAAGTTCAGTATAGAAAAAGACTAGTGGTAAGTAAGAAACGCACGATGCAGCTTTTCATGTTCTGAAGTGGACTACAAAACTGTTGCATGAGTTGGAAGGTTGATGAGCAATCATGATAAGCTGCTTAGCTTCTTCAGAAAACACTGTCTCACTAGCAATTTTTTTTTTTTTTATGATAATCCTTCTAGCCTGGAAACATGGAATTACAATAAAGGTAGATAAATTTTTCTTTGCAAGGTCATTTTTAAGGTGGAACAGTTTCCCAGTCATTCTGCAGTTGGTGTGGCCTCACAAAGGGGCATACAGCAACAAAGGAGGCTGCAAAGAGGCAGTAACAAGCAGCTGAGACAAGAACAGGGAGCTCTTGAGCTGGCAATACACACCAAAAAACCCCCAGCACTTTGAGCTGTATTCTAATCTGTACAGTAAAATCACTTAATCCCAACAGAAGAAAGTAGCAAAAGTTACAGATAAGGAGATTGTTTTGTACCAAAGGAGACCAGTCAATGACAACAGATTTAGTGGGATGAGGTCATATTGCCAAGTTTTGGCCTCAAGCACCGCACAAATTCTGACAAAATTAGAAGCAGATGAAAACATCACATTTGGTACCAAAGTGCGGTTCATCTAATCAGTCTACAATCATCATGTGTTTGGAAAGCAGCTGAATTTAATAAAACACATCAGAAGCCTGCACACTACAGAGCTCAGAGTTCTTTATAAGACGGCAGATATCACACTGATTTTAAGACAAAGTGACAAGAATGGAATATGGAAGGGATAGGCTGTAGTCAAGAAGATTACAACAGTGAGGACATTGCTTACAACAGACAGACAACACAGCAACAAAGAAAAATCAAAATCTGACTATAAGAAAGGTCAATGTGACTCGGCAGCAAAGCACTAAGATGACTGGAGAGCACATACACAGGCAGGAGAAGTGTCTTGTACAGGAGAAAATAATCCGAAACGGAAACGAAGATTGCTGACTGCTTTTCACATTTGCAGAAATGCTCCAAAATGAAGACAGTACAGTAGGTATGCAGTCTCTTAGTGTATTGTGGCCTTACCTTTGTTTTGCCTTGGAATGCTGCATGTATGCCTCCAGAACTAAAAGAGACTCAGTCATAAAAGTCACCACACAGTTCTAGTCAGTACCCAAAAAGCACATGGCTACTAACTGAAAAAAATGAAAGAAAACGTGTCATGTATAAAATTTTATTTTATGGCCTAGAAAATGGTCCACTACTGAATTTTGCTGAAAGTATGCTTTATGCAAGCTGACTGTTAACAACCATTAATAGTAAGTTTGTATGACACCACTCCATTTTGCTTAATCTACATTAGAGGTGTCTGTAATCATCATAGAATGGTTTGAGTTGGAAGGCACCTTAGAAACCATCTAGTCCAACCCCCTGCCAAGGGCAGGGACACCTTCCACTAGACCAGGTCACTCAAAGCCCCATCCAGCCTGGCCTTGAACACTGCCAGGAAGGGGGCAGCCACAGCTTCTCTGGGCAACCTGTGCCAGTGCCTCACCACCCTCACAGCAAAGAATTTATTCCTAATTTAGTCCTAAATCTACTCTCTTTTAGTTTGAAACCATTACCCCTTGTCCTATCATTACACTCCCTGATAAAGGATTTGGTTTTGTGTCTTTATATTAACCCTGAACTTCAAGAACCAGACAGCCCTAGTATATCAGAGAAAGATGAATATTAGATCACACCTCAGCAACTCACAAGTAGTACCAAAAAGACTTGCCATAAACCCTACCAGAAAACAGTATCCTAGATCCTGATAAACTGAGATTAAAAGCAGATTCCTTTGCCTCCTAGAAGATGAGTTCCCAGCTTGCTTAGAATGTAAACTACAAAGAAAGACAAAGAGCAGTAAGGTGGAAAACTGATGGGAGTAAAAGAAGAATCAGCTTTGTAAAACAGCTAAGCAGGCTCATTTCTTCCACTTAAAAGCAATTTTTCCTTAAGTTTTTTGATGGCAAATAGCCTTGTGGCAGCACAGCAGCAGAGATCTAAAGACATCAATATTAACGACAAAATAAAAAGACATATGAACATGCTTCTTTCAGTGTACTGCTGCCCACTAATGCTGTTACATCTATGCATCTGTATTATCTTAAGGAATTTATCAATATCTTTTCAAATCTCTAACATTCTCTTCCAGGTTTCAGCTTGGAATACTTACTTTTATTAGCAGATTAATTCTAAAAAGGTACGTATTTCAACCCCTTTCCTTCTCCAGACACCAATGGTTTTGCCACCATCTCCAAACAAAAACAAAATACTTCACACACACGAAACATGAAAGAGCATGTACAAAGGGAATGTGCTTCTCACATATTCTATTACAAATTGCATGACAAATTACATTCTAGACTCAGCTGCTTAATGACCACAATGAGACACATTTTCTCGGAGGCAGGTCAAAGGCATAACAATAAACTCCTCTAGGAACCAAGCCTCACAAACCTCATTATACTCAAGTGCAGAGGGCATTTCCTTGACCTTGTCTACTCTGATCCCATCTACCCATCTCTACAAGAGAATGCACTCTTGTCAGATCATTTATATGGGTTCATGAGCAGCCAAACAAAGTCACAGAAGAAAAAGCCACCAGAATAAAAAAAATTCCATGTCACAAATCACTGAACATTGCGAAGTTCTTCTAAGGAAGCATCCCCGCATGCTCATCCAATTCTCACTTTCTTCCAATAGCTGCTGTTGGAAGACAGAACGCTCAGCTAGATGGACATTGGTCTGATAAGGCAAGGCTTTTCTCCTGTTCTAGAAGTTCATTGTTAATTTACTCCTCTAAGATACTACTGTAAGATATAGTTTTCATATTCAGTCTCTGTCGGTTTCAAAAGAATTTCTGAAAAAACACTATGGACTCCGTAAGTTCTTAGAAAACACACATGTTTCTATCACCTCACCACAACTGGAAGCACTGAGGAC